TCCCCTGCCAAGTCCGCCACCCAATGACCGTTCTGGTCTGAGGCAGGGGGTGCAGGGCTCCAAGTGTCCTTGGGGCTGGCTGGCGCTTCAGTCGAGTTCAAAATGTTTATTTTGTTGTCCTTAGGTTAGTCGTTTGCTCATTTTCCACCCTCCGCCTCCGGCCCGGAGCTTGTTTGCAGAAATGTTCGCTCGCATGTACAGAAGTTGAATGGATGTGGATATGGATGTGCATTGCTTTTTTCCCTGCCCTCACTCTCTCTGCTGTTTGTGTGCTATTTGATTTGAACTGTTTGCATTTTGCGCTGTTTACATTTCTCAGGAATATCTAGCCCGTGCCTCATGGTAAATATCCTTGATCCATTTGCAAACAGTAGCCAGCCAGGCGCAGCCTCTTTAAAGTTTCTTTTCGGATCAAGTGCGTCCTTGGATATAAGTCAGAGCTCAGGTTGACCATTTAAATACTTTATAGATCATGGCTAAACATTCACAGAAAACTCAAGCAACATATAAACTAAACGTATTAGCAGGATCTAAGAGATATTCTATTCGAAAGATTCTTTCCTGATAGTATAAAAACAATAAGGTTGCCCCATAACATATATTACAATTTAATTATTAAAATTTCAGCTTTCCTATTTCGCTTTCTAAACTATTAAATACCTTGGCATTTTTCCTACCAATTTCTCTCATTTTCTCTGAGCTAAAATGCCTAGTATTAAGCAGATTCTAACAATAAATCCCCTTTAAGAGCCCACATTCCCCGGAATCACTCCCTGGACATCACAATGGAAAAGGCGCAATCAGCAAACAGTTTTCAGCTGAAAAGATTTGAATGTCCGTCATAGCCAAATGCCGTGTAATATGAAAAGAGTGAGCCGCATAAAAGGAGCACAATGCTGACGCCTTATTCTGATGTCAAAAGCTTGCTCCTGCCTTCCCGACTATCCTGACGATGATGAGCGCAGCGCAGCGCACAAAACGATGATGCACAAATCCCTTAAGAGCGGATTTGGAATTTCTGCGAGATGGTGGAAGCTGGAGATGCCAGGCTACCCCGGACACAAAGACGGCTTAGCCGGAATGAGGGGGGCCTCTGAGCTGCGAATAAGGCGACAGGCTTTAAAGTATTGTGAAATAGATGCCAACTCAGATCCGTGTAAGCCGCCCGCTGAGAGCCAGCGGGATCCCATTTCGACTGGAGTCCGTGTTCCCTGTTCCCAATACGGTGCGATATCATAGAGGCGTTGCTCGGAGGAAGTCCTGTATTTGTAGTGCAGCCAACTATTTGTTTTAACCCGCTGTGCCCAACTGTGAGGGAAATGCTCGCCATTCCGAGCTAGTATCTGCTATCTGCTATCAGTTCCCGTAATGGTTATTGGAAACACAGCCAAAAATGGCCGTCAAATATTGACTTGTCCGGGCTTGGAATTTATTTTGTGACCAAGTGCACTTTAAGAAATTAAGAGCAGTTTAATGTTTATTTTCTGGAGAGTATTGTGGAAACTTAATTAAATAAAAATTAAACTAAATATATCTTAAGGTATGTATTATTTATGGCTTAACTTCAAGCAAAATGCTATCTCTATTTTGCACAATTCCTTAAGCTAAACACTGGCAACAGTTGACTGAGATTAACTGAACCCTTGGGTATATAAAAATAGGCTCAAAGATTATAGTGTCACTCTGTTGTGTACTTTTTTCGCACACTGTTGTGGGGACAAACACCCTTTCTGATCTCCCCTCTTTTCCACGCGGCGTTGTACTGTCAGCCATGAACTTTTATTACGCCTTGAGGTAAATTGTTTTATTTATTTTTTAGGCCTGTCGCCAGGAGGCTGGCGGCGCTGGATCCCTGGTCCTGGTCAACGCATATTTCAGCGTTACTTTGTTGCCACACCACCACCCACTGGGCACACAGCATCCGCAATCGCATCCACACTTACATCCCTTCGGGGCCAACGGACAACGAAAAATCGCAACAATTTGTAATGCCAAATATTTTATTCATTCTGCGTTTGCCAAGGGCCGCCGCCTGGGCCTCCTTGGGCCACATATAAATAAATACATATTTGTGTATTATTTTTTATCCCCGTCAGTCCGATTGGCTCAACAGGTCAGAGCAGCGGGAGACTCAGTTCCTCGCGGGTTATGTCCGCATGTGAGGACATTTATGGGGCGGCTTTTCCTGCATACAAATGCAGCTCTCCATATACTTTCCCTTCCTCCTTTTTTGGAAAAGCGGAAAAGCCGAGGCGCATACATTTATCACGTCGTTAGTGGTACACGGAATGTATTTACGGTATGCATTCGCAATTTGTTCGTATCAATTGATTGTAATCTTCCTGTTGCGAGGTGGTTAAATAAATTATAACTTCCAATTGCATCTATAAAAAAAAAAATGGATAAATATTTTAAAACAAGAAATAAAGATGAAGTGGGAGATACCAGGTAATTAATGTTCTTCTTGTGGTTCAGTCTTTTATAATATTAAACAATACTAAAAATATCATAATTATCTCTATTAGATAGTAGTTAAAATGTAGTAAATTATAATTTCAGTTTATAGAGTTCCTAATTTAAAGCCAAAACTATACAAAAATACATAAAGAATCCACTTACGGCCCTTTGTCTAGCATCAGAATTAGAACCAAAAACTGGCATTCAGTTATCAGCTCGTAAATCAGTTTTCCGCCTTTGTGTGGCATTGCATTTGTCGGAAAAGCGTAACTTCATAAACGCATCGACGCGCTGGCAATTCAAACGTAATGAACTCGTATCGAGGGCGGCGGGCAATTTGTCTATTATGGCGCATTGATTAGCGCGTTCGGCCCCCTATTCACGGTTCGCAGTTCGAGGTTCACACTTGCGGGTCACCAGGGCCCCACACCAACGGAGAGCTCCTCTCGTGCCCCCGGCACGAATGCATGCAATGCCACACATGTCGTGTTTAATTAACCCCGAACAATTTCAGTCTCCGCCGCACTCTGCCAAAGTCCCGCCGCCGTTCGCACATGCATCTCCTCCTCCTTCTCCTCCGCCGCTACCCTATGCATCCTGCATATTCATTCAAACAAAAGGCACGCGCATAATTCCCATACGTATGTATAGTTGCTGCACTCCAATTTCCAAGCCCCCGAGCCCCAACTAGCAATGAAGCAGCCCGATATCGGGGTGGCGGCGGCAACACAGTGACCCAAATTAATCTTAGTCTTTAGCAGCAGCCAAGTGCAAGTGTCGAGCGGTATGCGAACCCAGCGCCCCTGACAGACGATGACATAGGGAACGGAATGGGGGGGAGGCAAGTGGGTTCCTTCGATAGGGATCGAGGACTGGGAGTTGGTGCTCGAGGAAGACGCAAGCCGCCCTTGAGTTGCCATGTCTAGGCTGCTCGCAGACAAAGTGCCAAAAGTTTCGTCGCGGCTGCGGAGGAGGTGGATGTGTCAGGTCAGGACTTGCTCTATTTTGGAATTTACAAAATCCCTGGGTGGCCCCAAAAACACAGCGAAGATTTAAACAAATGTCTAGCCATCAATCCCAGCAGTCAGCATATAAAATAGCATAAAGTATAAATATCTTTGTGTTTATTTTTATAAAAGTTTCTTCTTCGGGAAATCTTAACTGTAGCTTTCTTACTTCTAACAGGATCTTCAAGATGCCTTTCCACAAAAATTATATTAATTCTTCATTACAAACATTCCAAAAAGGTACCTTATACACCCAAATTAACTTAATCCACACCTTTATTAATTTATTAGCAATCTATTTATAAACCATCCAAAAATCCACAAGGTTATTTAATCCCAAAGCGCACAGTTTTGTTAACCAAAAGGATCAAGTATTTAATGTGTCTTTATTGTACTTTAAATTCCCTGCACATCCCCGTGTTTCCTGTAGCCGATTATGAATCGCAAAGATTACCGCACATAATTATTATCATCATCATCAGGGAGAGGAAGACCAGGGATCTTGGGATGGGCAAGGGAAGCCGAAAGGTGGCTGGCAGTTAAATGGTCCGCCCGCACACTAATTGTGAGTAACACGTTCGCGTTTACGAAACTTTCCGGGAATTTTCGTCGGAAAACAGCCGATCCCAGGGCCAGCCAGCGCCAGCCCAGGAGCCAAAGCCAGAAGGCCGGAGTTTCGACCAGACAAGTCCTCATCTGGCATCTCGCAGCTAGACATGCAGTCAGCCGGCAAGTGCTTAGACATTAAAGTTTGGCGCGCTCGCTTAATAGACAAGAAATTTGCCAGGGCCAAGTTTAAAGGGTCGGCGTCATTAACAGGACACTTCTAGCCCACTCCTTAATTAAAGCCAGACACTGCCGGGTAGCCTTTAATTTTAGACCACTCTATGGCATCGAAAATCAATAAATTTAAAATGTACAAGCGAATAAAATCGTAGCCAGCACACGGCCAACGGGGGAAAAACAAAGAAGGAAAAAAAAGGAAAACAAAATTCCAGCCATAGAGATGATAGGGCGGCCAGCGAGTCCCTTTTGGGGGATGTTGTTGCTGAGGCGACAAAGCAAGCAAGGAATCGCCGAGCCAAACATCCTTTTGTCAATACAAAATACGTAGAGTACAACAAAACAAATAAAGGCGCCCGAACGAGCCCCACGAGCAAAGACAAAGACAAAAGTCAGAACTGCAAAAAAAAAAAACAAAGGTAAAACAACTCGGAAGCTCCCACAGGACTCGCCGCCGACTCGCAGGACACGAAGAAGACCTCCGGCGCAACGCATGCGCCAATCTCAAAAGCTGGGGAAGGCAAATGGCAATGGCTCTCAGCCTTTGCCAAGGGATGGAGCGGAGCACACGGGAAACGCTCCCCAAATGGCTAAAATGGCGCACACGCACACACATCCGATGGCCATTTCCATTTCTCCTCCAAAATGGAGAGAATTTCCTCGCCAGCAGCCAGCAGCAGATGCCTGTGCATTTGCCCAAGAAGAGCAAATGATTTTTAACAAATTTCATTAACATCAGAGGTCCGTAATCATTCAAGCATCGCGTTTCGTAACAGGGCCAGGTCAAAAGAGTCCGATACTGGCCGCCACAACACAGATCAGATCCCAACTGCAATCACGGCCAGCCCAGCGTCCGAGTCCGCAATGTGGGTCTCGCCAAACAGTTGTGGCCAAGGTATTCGCCGAGACACCTAAGGAAAAAACCCGTGCAAAACGCTCGCGAAAATTATGTAAAAGTCTGTGAACGTGAATTTATATATATATAAATATATTGCCTATTTGAAACCAAAACGATTTCAAAATGATCGACGAGCAACATCCCATGCAGATTGGAATGTGTAAGTATCAAGGGACTCGGCGTTTTTGATTTCCCAGAGAACACGCAGATGCCGTCGGCTTTTCCACGCCCTTTTTCAAAGTAAAAAAGCCGACGGCATTTTTTTTTATTAAGAAAATATTTAAAAACTTTGGAATACTTCCACCTTAATGGTTAATTTATTATTTTAAGTGAAATTGTATTAACTTTAAGATCCCTACTGGATATTATACAATTACATACACTTCTTCAGGATTCTTTTATGTAATATGTTTACATTGCAAGGATCAATAAATGTTTAAGATTTTTACGTAAACAAAATAAAATTATACTTGATAGGAAAAATGTCTTTGGGATGAAGTTGGTTTATTTTTATATTAAGGAATATAAACTTCAAATTTATAGAGCCAATTATTTATGAAAAATGAAGTATACATTAACCAAACACCCCAAGAAAACATTTTAAATCATTTTAGAATTGTTAAGATGACAATTTCGAGTTTATTAAACTATTTTTCAGTTATGCTTGCTAATGAAATATTTAAATTCCATTAACTATTCCCAATTAAAAACTGGCATGAATTTCTTCTTAGGTACGAAAACAATCCAAGTGTTAAAGGAATCTTTCATATATTTTTACTTTCAAACACAGATATTAAACAAGCGCACAGAATAATTACGACTAATTTTGTAACAAGTAAAGAATGTTGAAAGCTCCAATATAATCACTTCGATTGCAATCTACTGCTGCAGATTTAAAGCCAAACACCATTGGTGCCAAATATGCATAGAATCATTGGCACGCACGCCTTCAATCCTAGCCGGAAACACTCCAGTTCAACTGGCTGAGGGCCAGTGAAAATTTCAACATATTTTCCAGTGCAAAGCAAATTTTGACTTCTGTCAGAGATTAGGCCAAAACAAAGCATTTACGCTGCGATTGCTGGCACAACAAAACGGCACCATAACTTCATTGTGCGCCCAAATCCGATTAAATAAAACGCTGTCAGTTGCTGCCGCGGAGAGCTGCTGCCAACTGACAGCGGATTGTGCGACTCGGAACGGCGGCAGCACACAGTATCCTGGCAGAGCGGCAGCCGGGCATCCTGGCAAGGGTTTCCGCCGACTGCCAACATATGCCGCCAGCCGCTGAAACCAACGTCGTGAGCCCGTAGTGCCTCATCCCCTTCCATTTAGTATAGCTCAAGCATATTTTCTGCAAGGGTGGAAATCCTCCCTGTTGATTCATTTAAATGCTGTCTGCCCCGGTTCAATGAAATTCGTTCATAATCTAGTTATAAGCAGGGCCACCCTTAACCCGCCCCTCGGATCCGCTGCACATTAGAATCTAATTAGGGCGGGGGGCAAGTGGCAGTGGCCTGACTATCAATGTCGGCTTTGCACTTGTCCGCCTCGCAAATCCTTGAATCCTTCTCCGAGGCATGTCCGGCAAATATGTCGGAAACACTCAAATGGCGGCGAATGACGGAGCACAAAAAATGTAACAGGTGTGGCCGCTGAGCGGATTATTCGGCGCCACTTCTTAGTGAATAGCTTCTGAGTATCAGAAGTTAAGGTTAGTCGGGGTACAAGGATTATAGTGTAGGAATAGGAGCAGGGGCAGGAGAAGGAACAGGAACAGAAGCAAGAGCAGGAGCACGAGCAAAAGCAGGAGCAGAACCTGGAGAGTGGGTGACAGCCTGCAGGAGGTCGTAGTTACTACAGACAACATATTGACAAGTATTCCTTTTTGATCCAAAGTCACCCCATCTGTTAAGATAATAGAGAGAGATTTATCTTAGTTTGATTGTAGAAAAAATGTTATATTTAATTTTCAGATGCTTCGATATTAACAATCAATATAGGATTTAGGATAAAAAAAACCTTTTAACTTATTCCTTTTTGTTCCAAAGTCACCACATATAACAGAGAAAGATATATCTCAGTTTAAGAGTAAATCGAAATGCTTATATAAAAACAAAAACCAATATATATATATAGGATTTATTATCTAGAAAAAAACATTTTTTATTAAACTATTTAGTAAAATTAACCAATGTTTTGTACTACTACAATATTATCTTATAAATGTCCTCAAAAGTCCACCTAATCAATTATATATTCAAGTTAAATATTAGAAAGAAAGTAAAATAATAAATAAAAATCATGTGCTTCTCTCAGCCTAAATCTTGTTAATTAATTAATTAATTAAACCTATTAACAAACAAAGGAATACCTTTAAACTTAACCTTTTCCAGGCTATATTTTTTCTTCTTAACACATTAGTTTATCCTGTTCAGTGAAACGGCAATTAAATTAACTCGAATTGAATTCACTCATAAATGCAATTCACTTTTTTCCACATTTGTTTACCACATAGAAAACCAGAATAAATAAAATCATAACTGCATAAATCGGTTTGCATCAATCAGAGTAAGAGATGTAGCAGAGTGTTGTTAAGCTGCAGCAATGACGATGAAACACTTCAACATTCTAGGCATATTTCTGGCATAAATTGGCATGCCAGTTATAATGTTTTCCGAAAAATTTAATGAAATTACGCACACATTTAAATCACTCGGATGCGGAATGACAAACACACACACACACTCCGAAACGGAAACATGTGAAAAACCGAACAAAAGCCGGGGAAACAAATTACGGTGAAATTTCAGCAATTTGCCATAAATTGAGACAACAAGGCACAAAAAGCCAACCAGTCAGCACCGCAAATGTACAGTAATTTTTTGCCAGCAACACCAATACGAACAATCGCACATACGCACATTCGCACATCACGCATACGCAGCGTTGGCTGTGTGGCTTTTTTACTCACCATTCCGCCATTTTGCATGGCATTTCGGGGAATTTCGAGTGCAATGCAGCACACACACACTCACACTCGGTCTGTGTGCTAGCGGGACAGTCATTTCAATAATTGCAAAACCACAAATTTACTACAACTCGAAACAGACCAGTCAGCCAGTCAGCAGCTGGACATTGGCCCGGCTTCGGTTTATATCGCTGGGGTCACCGTGGACCGCAAATACAAATCCCTTTTTCCGGACCTATAGTTGTAAATTTGAGGCAAAAATGCCGCTCCGCTCCGGCCGCAATGTGCATGCCGGAGAGTGAAAATAAAAATATCTGAAATGTTTCTCATTTGCATGTTCTCGGGGGCTCTGGACGCACGACACGACCGCAAAACCAAAATAGTTCCAATGGACATAAAATGTCAACAGCAGCAGCAGCAACTGGGAGCCGGAATGGGAGTAGGAATCGGAGCAGGGGCAGGAGGAGGTACTGGCACAGGACAGCCGCAGGCCGGGGGCCTCAATCAACTGCTGTTGAACGGAAATGAACGCATGTTAACAACACCAGTAACATCGGCAGCAGACGGAGGAGCAGGAGCAGCTGCCACAGGAAGGACTACAGGCAGTGCCAAGGCCGGACACAATGACAAAATGGCGTCAGTCAGCAGAAATGTCAACGGAAGTTGCAGCAACCACAACAGCAACAGCAGCAGCAGCAACAACAATGCCATAAACAAGCAACATCAGCCGCAGCAGGGAATGGGACAGATGCCGGGCCCAGGAGCCGGACCCGGACCCGGACCCCCTCTCTGCAACCGCATCACCTTGGGCGAGTGCAGCCTCAATGGGATGGATAGCTTTGCGACGCCAGCAGCACCTCCGTCGGCATCCAACACACCGCAAGCGCCTCCGGGAATGGGTTCGGGTGCGGTCTCGGCTCCAGGACAGGGACTGGGCATGGAGCTTATCGGTTTGGGCCTTGGTCCTCCCCATCCCCATTCCCATCCCAATTCGATGCCAACGAGTCAGTGTGCCCACTGCTGCCAGCCAATTTGTGATCGCTACATCATGCGCGTGGTGGAGAACTCCTTCCACGAGGGCTGCCTCAAGTGCACCGCCTGCTCGCTGCACCTGGTCCACTCCTGCTATGCGAGGGAGGGCAAGCTCTACTGCCGCCTCGACTACGAGAGGTGAGTTGCCCGCATGACTGTCAAGTGACCTCTGAGAGGTCCACAGCAGAAAACATAGAAAGAAATGGGTTTAAAATAAAAGATTTTACCGCAGACTTTACATCCGCAATCGTTGCCTTGGCTGTGGCCATAAAATCGCCGCCGATGAGCTCGTGATGAGGTGCCACGAGAACGTCTTCCACCTGAAGTGCTTTGCCTGCGTGGTCTGTGGAGCCCTGTTGAAGAAGGGGGAGCAGTATGTGGTCAAGCAGGGACAGCTCTTCTGCCGCTTCGACTACGAGAAGGAGGTGGAGATGCTGCAGGGATATGGTGAGCTAGGAAATACCTCAAAATTTAAACCGACTAAGTAACCAATCCCATTGAATAGACTTCTACGGAGATGAGCTCTTTCCGCCCAAACTGGACGGAAGACGCGGACCCAAGAGACCCAGGACCATACTGAACACACAACAAAGGCGAGCCTTCAAGGCCTCCTTTGAGGTGTCGCCCAAGCCCTGTCGCAAAGTGAGAGAGAATCTGGCCAAGGAGACTGGTTTAAGCCTAAGAATCGTGCAGGTAAATATTTAAATTAAGCATCACAAAAAAGAATATAATAATATATTACTTTTGATTCTGTTTCACCTTCAGGTGTGGTTTCAGAACCAGCGGGCAAAGGTCAAGAAGATACAGAAGAAGGCCAAGCAGGAGCCGCCCAGCAAGGGGGCCAGCGACTCGCAGGATTCGCAAGAGTCCCTGGACAGCAGCCTGGCCACCAAGATCAAGGACGAAGCACACAGCGACAGCGAGTCGCAGCTGGAGTCGCCATACTCCGCGGCCTCCGATGGACTGAACAGGATGCGCTGCACCATCAAGGACGAGCAGGAGCAAGTGCCCTTCAACTGCATGGAGACCAACAAGGGTAGGTATTCCGAAAAGGTCAGCGGACCAAACTAACCAGACTCCGAATCCACAGAGAACTGCAACAAGAACAGCGAGCCCATCCTGAACACAATTCTGGGACTGAGCTACGCCACCTTCCAGCAGCTGATGGGACCCTTTGCCCAGACGCCGATGATCAATCCGATCGATCGTCTATATAGCATGCAGAGCTCTTACTTCCGGCCGGAGGAGCTGCAGGCGTACGGCGAGTGCGGCGTCAAGGACTCCACGGATCACTAGTCTGGCCGATTTCGAATTTTAAGCCCAAATCAAAATTAGACCTTGTAAAATAAAAGAATGTTAATGTGCTAGCAATCGAACTTAAAGACCCCGCCCCAAGTAGGGCAATAATCATTCATGTTCGGCGGCACTTGCGCAACAACATCCACCATTTGGCAAGGACAAAGGCTGGGCTCTGCAGGTGCAGTCCTGAAATTAGTTCCGCTCGGTTGACAGGCACAAAGCATTTGCCACAGCAGTCGCAACCCTGGAGGGCGGCACTGATGCTGCCACTAGCACAGGCACTGGAACTGGAATGGGCGTAAAATACCAATTCGTCAGGCATAGTTCAAAGGGCCGTGTTCGGATCCGGATCCGTATTTGTATCCTCCCGTGACCTCCCCACGATTACGGCCCCTTTGACAGCGTCAACATAAAAGTGTCGCGAATGCAGCTCATTCCCTGGACTTTATACGGCAGTCTTGATTTTAGCCTTCTTCTATACTCTTAATGGTTTAACGAGGAAGAGCTACATCAAAATTTTCTTTTGCAAATGGTCTTAAAATCGTTGTACTCTTCCCTATAAAAAATTTATTTTAAAACGATTTAGAATGGTTTTCTCAGTTCCTAGTTTAATATATGAAAAGAAACGAAGAAGTAAGTGGTCTTAATCAGAATATGAAAGTTATCTTCTAAATAGTAGGTTTAGAAGAGCTCAGAATCAAATGTTTTACTTAAGAACGTTAAAAGTCAGCCAATAATTATACAGCGTCATCAGAAAATCCAATTTGTAGTTTCTAGTAAATATATTAACAAACCTATTGGTCAAAAATGATCAGCTTACATTTCCTTTACAAGCATAATGAACCAAACATTTTTATAAATATTTTAAATCATCATTTTGCCCAAGTCTTCAATAGAAAACACTTGGGCTATCGGTGGCTAATTGATTTTGCAGGAACTGCAACACGTGTTTACACAACTTCCGGCGCGACCAACCCCGCCAGGGAGCAAACACCCCTCCGAAGCTCGGAACAAGTTCATGCAATTTGTCACAATATGTGTCACATTAGCCACAGCAATTGTGCTTAAACGTCACCGTCTCCGGTTCTCCGGCCGAATTCCCCCGGCTGTCGTCATCGTCATCAGGACCGCTAACCAGATTAAACCCCAATCGCGACACCGATACGGCCAAGGATAGCCCAGTGGCAGGGGTTCTTCGGCAAAGCGGCAAAGTAGGCAAACAAAGAACCGGGGTCTCAACCACCACATAGTTTTTCCGACATAGAGCCACCACCGCCGCGGAATCCCTTACCCACCCCGCCACGACCAAGTAATTCTGCAGGACGCATGTAAGTCGTTTTCAGATACACGCATTAACGGGGCACGTAAAAAAGAGATCCAGTTCCAGAGCCTGTGTCCGCATCATTAATCAAAAGCGGACAAGGCCAAACAAGTGCAGGAAATAAAAAAGAGAATTGGCCTAACGAATGGACGTAAAGTCGTCCCAGTCGTAAGTCCTGCAAGGTCCTCGCTAACCCCAGAACCACTTGCTCCTTGCTGAATGATTTCCGTTTTTTCAAGTGAAAATTGCATAATTAATTACCGTGACAGAGATGGTAGGTAGAGGAATTGAAATGCTCTTTCACGGGTCTACGTTTAAACTTATTTTCTATAAAGAAACAAAGCTACATAATTAAACATTTTAATTTTAACAAATTCAATTTAAAATACTTTAATATATAAACCAATTCAAAGGCAATTTCTTTAGGAAATAATCCCTCAATTCTAATAATTAAAATAAAACGTTTTACTTTTCCGCTTAACTTCAGCTTTCTCCCAAATCAAACACCAATTTAAAGACCCCTAACAATGTCCTGAAAATCTCACAATGACTATTATGGGAAAATCACCCGAGGACAGGCTTTTAAAATTGAATCAGTTCAAAAAATCATTGACAAAAGTTGATTTTTCATATGGTACTTATGGATTTCCAGCTCGTAATATTTGCCAGCAGCACTTTATGTAAACAATAAAAATCAAAAATCAATTTAAGGCCCACATAAAGGAGCATCATAATACCATTTCCACAAAGAGGGACAAATCGCACACAGTAAACCATATACAATTCACAAAAATAAATGTGCATTTGCTTTTATTTTCTTAGGGCGCATGTGTTGACAAAGGCTAAAGTGGCCACAAAATGAATTGGATTTTGGGTGAAAAATATTAAAAACAATACTGGCAAAATGCGTGGGAATATATTATATAAATTGTCAAGGGAATGAAATATAAATGAATAATTTAAATGAACTTGAAACGATTTACAAAATTAAAGAATTTTGATTTATACTAAATGTAATAACAAACCCTTCTTGAGGTACTTTTATGTTATATTTAACATATTTTTTCATAGAAAAACTTTACCTTATGCAACATAATTATTTAAAAATGCTTACCGGGTGTTTAACCGGAAGGGCTAGTAGTCGGCGAAACTATTTCTTAATATTGCATGTGAAGCCATGGGAAACGGAGATTCTTTGCAGCAAACTTTTCACTTATAATTATGTAAATCGGTGCCCATGAACACGAACTACTAGCCGCAGAGGGCCGCACACAAATTGTCGAGCAGCAGATGTCACTCGGTGGCCTTCTCCTGGCCAAACAGTTCAAAGAAGTCACTTGTGGCAGTTGTTTGGCATCATTGGGTTGGTGGGTTAAGAGGGGTTGGGGATCAAAGCTTCGGCTTTTCTGGGCCCCGCAATCTAAATGCAAATGGACGGACGGCCAATGACTGAATGAGAGCCGCTGGCCCAGAAAGCCACAAAGCCATAACCAGGAATCTCTCGCATAATACACACAGAAGCCAAAAAGGACGACGACGGGTGCGGCGGGGACTAAATGAGAGGGACGAGAGTCACTCAATGTAGTTGCTGCCCGGGACTGCTATATGCGTGCGGGTGTACGTGCCACGTAAGTGTTTGAGTTCGACATTTGGCACAAAATTCATAAATGCTAATTTCGACACATTGCGCACACGCTACAAATATGAATATTTACCATAACTACGCAAACTGGCGCAGACACACGCACACACAAATCGACTTCGATTGCCTGGGATGCTGGCAAAGGCTGTCAGGACACTCACTTCCCCGCACCGAACAGCCTGGCACTTGCCTTTATCGACCAACACTTTGCTTCGGTTTCAACTTCAGTCGGGTTCGGGTTTAATAAAATCCTTTTGCGAAATGAAGCAATTGTGCATTTCAGCCTGCTGCTGCCTTGCACGGATACAAATGTGCACAGGGAGAAAATACTTTTAAAAAAATGTAGCAAGAAAGTTTGTTGCTATTTTGTTTATAGCTCTCTCTTAAGGATTAAAATATTTCAAATCTACTAACAAAATGCCTGAGAGTATGAAACATAAATGGAGAAACTTGCCTTAAACTATCCCCAGACTTAAATCTCCTCTCGGTGTACGAATGTGACTATCAATGGCTGAGACAAGGACGTGGGTGAGATGGTACTGGGCCTGGGCAAATATGCGTCAAAATCGCACAGACGCACAGTTTTTGAATGCCAAATGGAGACAGGATGGGAATGCATTACGTGCATAGGCATACAATAGTCTATATTTGTCTACTTGATGCCACAGATTGAGATTGGTTTTGTGCCCTGTGCCGGGGCCTGTATCCTGAATCCTTAATCCTGATTCCTAAACGTAATTGGCCACTTGGCTGCCGACTCGGCCGGGCCAGGCCACTAGGCGTCACATGCCGCTCTGTGGGCTCGGGGCATACTTTGCCGTTAAATTGAAAATTTCTTTCAATTGAGCTGCCGATGGCCAACGGACTCAGCCACCACATTATTAGTTCAAACTTGGCCGGGTCGTGCGACTAATGAGTTTCTAATAGGCCTGCAAGTGGCCTCCCAAAGTGTGGCTCGGTTCGGTCCTTCAAGTAACATTTGCTTCTCTAATGAAAAAAATGCCCCTGCTGCATATACCGGGTGCTGTATCACAATTAATATGAAATAAACTAAAGATTTCTTTGATTTTTAAATAGTAAGCTTCAGGTTAATTTATTAAATTGAATAGTAAAATAAATCAAAACGCCTTGCAAATGCCACTTTATTTATATTTATCCTTCGTTTTCTATTATCTTTATTAATAATATTACTAGGCTTAAAATTATTCAATCTTAAGAGTCTTTTAGCAACCTTTTCCCAAGTTATTGTAATTTAGTAGCCTTGCCTAAAATGAATTGCATTTGAATTTGCCTTTAGTCGTTCGCCCTGGCTGGTCTCGCCCACGATTCGGGCATTCGAAATTTGAATTGCAAAGCTCCGACAGCTGGAAAATCGAACAGGAACTACGAGAATGTGTGTGGTCCCCCAGTGCCAATCCTCCGGCTCATCGTCGCCTTTTGCCGGTTGGTTTTGGCAGGCGTATCACCGGGATCGGAGTCCCGAATCAGAACCAGTTGACAGGCCAGACACCGAAGGGGCGTAGTTCAAGACAATGAATGTGTAGCTACAGCCGGATGAAGATTGACTTTCGGGCCAAGGTGTTGCCAACTGAAAGCCAAATGCAAATGAGCAGCCAGCAGGAGTCGCTTAATATGCAAATTTCGAATACATATTTAAGGCGAAATTCAACACGTTCTCTTCAGCTGATGCAACCATTTCAAGGACTTGTCATGCAATTTAATATTTCGATTCGGTATTTAAAATCTGCAGCTTTGGGTAAACCCAAAAAAAATCATGGAATAATCCGAAAATGCATCACATATTTTTGCATAAGACTGGAATGTTTTTCATTATGCTCCCGATAAAGTGAAAAAAAAGCGAGCCAACATCAAATGGATGCCAACAGGACGGATGAGTGTTGTCTTCTAAGTGGGTGAAGCCAGTGAGCCGACGCACGCACTGCGAGTCGCGAGCATGTATTAAAAATATCTTGTAGATACTTTGGCAGCAGCCACTGCGAGTTCAGTAGCTCAAAGCTAAAAGTTGAGCCCGCGGCGCCACTAGAAATCGACTGCAGCATACTGAAGGAATAAGATGTTGGCTGCAGCCGCCGGAAAA